TCAGCTTAGGTAGGATTGTCATTTTTATTATATTAGCTCGGCCTACCCATGAGCAACTGATGTTTTTCCAGTTATTTAGATCTGATTTTATTTGTGTGAAAAGTGTTTTGTAATTGTGTTCATAGAGTTCCTGGGTTTGTTTGGGAGGTAGACTCCTAAATATTTTATAATGTCTACAGTAAGTTTAAATGGGATTTCTCTTTCTATCTCTTGCTGTTGGGCTTTGTTGGTAATATATAGAAATGCTGATGATTTATGTGGGTTTATTTTATAGCCTGCAACTTTGCTAAAGTTGTTTATTATTTCAAGTAGTTTTTTACTTGATTCTCTAGGATTCTCTAAGTATATCATCATGTCATCTGCAAAGAGTGATAGCTTTGTTTCTTTTTCGCCTATTCTAATGGCTACAATTTCTTTTTTTCTCTTATTGCTAAAGCTAATTTCCAGTAATATTGAATAACAGTGGTGATAATGGACATCCTTGTTTCACCCCGATCTTATTGGAAATGCTTCTAGTGTCCCCATTACATATAATGCTTGCTGAAGGTTTTAGATAGATGCTATTTATTATTTTAAGGAAGACTCCATTTATACCTATGCTTTCTAGTGTTTTTAATAGGAATGGGTGTTGTATTTTGTCAAAAGCTTTTTCTGCATCTATTGAGATGATCATGTGGTTTCTGTTGGTTTTGGTGTTGATATGCTCAATGATGCTGATAGTTTTCCTAATATTGAACCAACCCTGCATTCCTGGTATAAATCCTACCTGGTCATAGTGTATTATTCTTGTGATAAGTTGCTATAATCTATTTGCTAGTATTTTGTTTAAAATTTTTGCATCTATATTCATTAGAGAAATTGGTCTATAATTTTCTTTCTCTGTTTTGACTCTTCCTGGTTTAGGTATCAACACCATATTTGTATCATAAAAAAATTTGGTAAGACTCCTTCTTCACCTATTTTCCCAAATAGTCTATATAGTATTGGAATTAATTGTTCTTTAAATGTTTGATAGAATTTGCATGTAAATCCATCTGGCCCTGGAGATTTTTTCCTAGGGAGTTCATCAATGGCTTGTTCAATTTCTTTTTCTGAGATGGGGTTATTTAAGTATTTTACTTCCTCTTTGGTTAATCTGGGCAATTTATATTTTTGTAAATATGTATCCATTTCACTAAGATTGTCAAATTTGTTGGCATATAGTTGGGCAAAATAATCCTAATTATTGTTTTAATTTCCTCTTCCTTGGTGGTAGCTTCACCCTTTTCATTCTTGATACTAGTAATTTGGTTTTCTTCTTTCTTTTTTTTAAATTAAATTAACCAAAGGTTTATCTATTTTATTGTTTTTTTTTCATAAAACCAGCTCTTAGTTTTATTTATTAGTTCAATAGTTTTCTTAATTTCAATTTTATTAATTTTTCCTTTGGTTTTCAATATTTCTAATTTGGTGTTTAGTTGAGGATTTTTTTTGTTCTTTTTCTAGTTTTTTTAGTTGTATGCCCAATTCATTAATCTCCTCTTTTTCTATTTTATTTATGTAAGCATTTAGAGATATAAAACTTCCCCTAAGAACTGCTTTTGCTGCATCCCATAGTTTTGGTATGTTGTCTCATTATTGTCATTCTCTTGAATGAAATTATTGATTGTTTCTATGATTTGTTGTTTGACCCAATCATTTTTTAGGATTAGATTATTTAGTTTCCAATTATTTTTAGTCTATCTTTCCATGGCCCTTTATTACATATAATTTTTATTGCATCATGATCTGAAAAGGATGCATTTAATATTTCTGCCTTTCTGCATTGGATTGTGAGGTTTTTATGCCTAGTACATGGTCAATTTTTGTGTATGTGCCATGTACTGCCAAGAAAAAAGTATATTCCTTTCTATCCCCATTCAGTTTTCCCAGAGGTCTATCATACCTAACTTTTCTAATGTTCTATTCACCTCCTTAACTTCTTTCTTGTTTATTTTGTGGTTAGATTATCTAGCTAGAGAGAGGGAGGTTCAGGTCCCCACTAGTATAGTTTTGCTGTCTATTTCTTCCTGTAACTCCCTGAACTTCTCCTAAGAATTTGGATGCTATACCATTTGGTGCATATATGTTTAGTAATGATATTACTTCATTGTCTATGGTGCCTTTTAGCAGGATGTAGTTTCCTTCCTTATCTCTTTTGATTAGATCTATTTTTGCTTTTGCTTTGTCTGAGATCAGGATTGCTACCCCTGCTTTTTTTACTTCAGCTGAAGTATAATCTATTCTGCTCCAGCCTTTTACCTTTACCCTGTATGTGTCACTCTTTTTCAAATGTGTTTCCTGTAAACAACATATTGTAGGATTATGGTTTTTAATCCATTCTGCATCTGCTTCCCTTTTGTGGGAGAGTTCATCCCATTCACATTCACAGTTGCTATCTATGTTTCTTTCTCCATCCTTTTTCCACCTGTTTATGCTTTTCTTTCTCCTTTTCCTTTCCCCCCCTAGTGTTTTGCTTTTGACCACTGCCTCCTTCAGTCCCTCCTCCCTTTTATTATCCCTTTCCCTTTTCTTCCCCTTTATCTTACTGCTTTCCCTCCTCTTTTTCCCCCTCCCTTTTCTTTCCCTTTTCCCTCCTACTGCCTATAGGGCAAGTTAGATTTCTATACCTAACTGATTATGTTACCCTTCTTGAGCCAAATCTGATGAGAGTAAGGTTCAAACAATGCTCCCCCCCTTCTTTCCTCTGCTGTAATAGGTTTTTGTGTCTTTCCTGTAATGTAATTTACCCTTGTCTGCCTCTCCTTTCTCAGTACATTTTCTAGATCAGATATCCACTTATTGGATCCATTTAACCCACTTAATTAGGTTTCTTTTTATCATTACATCAAAGTCAACTTATATCTACCCACTCTATGTATACTCCTTTAACATGGTGTAATAACAATACAGTTCTCAAGAATTATTTTTTAGGGATTTGTTTTCTTCAGTGTACTTTTTTTTCCAGTTGGCCAACTGTATTTTTTAAGGATTCTTCTACCTCTCTCATTTGACTTTTAAAATCCTTCTTGAGCTCTTCTAAGAAGGTTTTTTGGGCTTCAGACCAGTTCATGTTCCCTTTTGGGATTCCAGATGTGGGTTTGTTGACAATGTTGTCCTCTTCAAAATTTCTGCCTTGATCTTTATTGTAGTATGGCGAGGCACCTGGTGGTTTTCTGAGCTGGTTCTTACTAGTTCCCCCACCCTCACTGAGGACTCGGAGGTCCTGGTGTTGATGTTTGCCTGCTCCACCACCTAGGTTTCAGGATCTCTTCCTGGTACGCTAAAGTGGGGCTTTCAGCTAGCTTGCTGGGACACTCCCGTTTAGTACTGCATCCCTTCCCCCAGGGCAAGAAGGGCCTTTCCCGTTAATTCCTTAAGCTACCTGGGCTACTGGACTGCTGCTCTCTATCTTTCTTCTGGTTCACCTGTTCCAGGGTTTTTCCTCGGGCAATATTTTCTGGGCTTTCAGAGGGTTGATATGGGAGAGTGAGAGCACTACCTTTTTACTCTGCCATCTTGGCTCCAGGAAGCGAAAGTCAACAAAACATTTTTAAGGAGGGACAGGGTGAAGGAGAGAGAGTAGAATAAATAGGGTCAGATAGGATGGAGAGAAATACCATTAGCAGTAGTAACTGAAAAAAAAATTAAAGCAAGTTTCTTTGATAAAAGCCTCATTTCTCAAACATAGAGAATTGAGTCAAATTTATAAAAATAAGAGTTAGTCTCCAACTGATAAATGATCAAAAGATATGATCAATTTTCAGGTGAAGTAATCAAAGCTATCTATAGCCATATGAAAAAGTACTTTGATTCACTACTGATTAGAGAAATGGAAATTAAAATAGTTCTGAGGTACTTCTTCATACCTATTAGATTGGCTAAGAGGATGGAGAAGGTGAACAAAAATTGTTGGAGAAGATGTGGGAAAAATGAGACATTAATACATTAATTGCTCTCCATCATGGTTGGATCAGTTCACAACTCTACCAACAATGCATTAGTGTGGCAGTTTTCCCACATTGTCTCAAACACTTAGGATTTTCCTTTTTTGTCATGTTAGCCAATCTGATATGTCTGATATGGTACCTCAGAGTTGTTTCAATGTGTATTTCTCTAATCAATTAGTGATTTAGAACATTTTTCATATGACTATAGATAGCTTTAATTTCTTCATTCGAATACTGCTTGTTAATTCCCTTTGATCATTTATCAATTGGGGAATTACCTGAATTCTTAAAAATTTGACTTAGTTTTCTGTGTGTTTTAGAAATGAAGCCTTTATCAGAGACACTGAATAAAAATTCTTTCCTAGCTTTCTCCTTCCTTTCTGATCTTGTTTGCTTTGGCTTTGTTTGTGTGAAGACTTTTAAATTTACTGTAATCCAAATTATCCATTTTGCATTTCATTATGTTCTCTATCTCTTGTTTGGGTATAAATTCTTCCCTTCTCCACAGATCTGACAGCTAAACTATTCCTTGTTCTAATTTGCTTCTGGTATCACCAATTTTACCTAATATTTTTACCTTTGTATAAAATGTACCCCTTTTGACCTTAACTTGGTATATGGTATAAGATATTTGTCTATACCTAGTTTCTGTCATACTGTTTTCCAGTTTTCCCATTAATTTTTGTCAAGTAGTGAGTTCTTATCCCAAAAGCTGGAGTCTTTGGCTTTATCAAACAGTAAATTACTGTAGTCGTTGACCACTGTGTCTTGTGTAACCAATCTATTGCACTGATCCACTACTCTATTTCTTAGCCAGTACCAAATAGTTTGATAATTACTGCTTTATAATATAGTTTTAGATCTGGTACAGCTAGGCCATCTTGTGAAGGAAAGATTAAAAAGAAAGAGTATAAACTTGTGTTTGTTGGGAGAGGACCAAAAGAAAAGAAGAATAATTATGGAGGGGAAACACATTGTATCATTTATAGATTACAAGTGTTAGGCAAAATCTTTCACTGCTTTCTTTGTTAGGAGGGTGCAGAGGAAACGAAAGGAAAAAGTACAAAAGAATTGGATGGAGAAGAAATATACAGCGATCAGAACCATTGATGTGAGTAGGACAAATTCACCAATAAAACACAAGACAATAACAGAATGGATTAGAAAGCAGAATCAAGCATTATGTTGTTCACTGGAAACACACTTGAAATGTTAAGAATCACAGCTAAAATGAGAAACTGAGTAGAATCTATCATGTTTCAGAGAAATTTAAAAATTTAGGTATAGCAGTCATTTCATAAAAGACGATGATAAAAAAGTAGGTTACATAAAAGAAGATAAATAATCAAACTACGCTACTTTTAAAGACACTATGTAATGAATCAGTGTCCATACTTTACATTATGTACTATTGCAAAGCATTTATATGTTTAAAAATATCTGAGACAAAAGAGAAAGAGAGAGGCATACCTTTTAGGATCTGTGAATATGGGTCAGGGAATCTTTTGGTAAAGGAGAACTTGTAGCACAACTGGATAGGAAATTAAATTTTTGTTTTGGCAAAACAAAAATTATAGAGCAGATATAGTACAAAAAAGGGGGGGAAGTGGGACACAACTGTGATCCAAAGGGTTTGCCACTGGTTGACTACCATCTTTAACATTCTTAGAAGAATATATCTCCAAAAAAAGGGCAAGATATGAAATATTCTATTATTTTTCCATTACTTGAACCATTTGTCTTCAATTACCTGTTCCTACTTGCAAAGCTTGGGTCAAACAGAATCGCGTAAAATATTTACATGTCTGGCAGGGTATTTCCTTTCTATGTAAATTTTCTTGATGTTAACCAGCATATATCCTGGCCATGCTGCCACTTGCTGTTTCTTTATCTCATTCTCTCCAGGCTCTTTTGCTCTTCACCACAGAGTACAGACTTATGTACCTCTTCCCATCTATTGCCTCCTTGTTGTAATATATTTAGTTTCATTAGTTTCATAAAACATGAGGTATGTATTTTATCAAGAATAAAAAATTTAGAAGGATATGTTTTTGTTGTTGTTTTCAGCACCTTACATTTCGCCCTGAGCAGCATGTCTTATGAAATATACTAAATTGATATCTTATGAGAATGTTTTTAGTGATTGTAATCCTGCTATCTCTTTAAGAGCAGCAAGTCTTAGAAAACTTGTTCTATTTGAGAGAAAAAAAATGCTCACAATGCCAACTCTGTCCCATGTGAAGGAATCTAAAGTCAACCACTTTAATTCATCTTTTTCTTTTGCATGGAAATTGTCATTTTCTTTAGCATTTACATTATAGAAAGGACTAAATTCAAATGAGATTCTAAATAATTAATTTTTATGAATTACTGCTTACATAACCTGTAGTCTTGAATCTCTTCTACAAAGGATCTTCTTACAAGAATCACCTTATAAGAATTCAGCATAATGGAAATAGGATAAGGAAACCTTGTTATTATTTTTGTAAGAACCATTAGAGTAGTCTGTCATGCTGGGTAGAAAAAATAGGTCCATCTGTGTCTTGTTGTACTTTCTTGCATATAGTCACTGGCAGAAAATCAGCGTTTGGGGAAAATAGACAGCTAGTGTTGTCTCATAGGGAAAGGCAGGAGGAGTGCCATATACAAAGGGTTCTGTCAAGACTCAGCAGCAGTTTTTGAAGGGCAGCAGAAAAGGAGAAGATGAAAGAAGGCTTCTGAAGGTCAGTCATTGGGAGAGAATAGAAAAGGTGGATGAGTAATAAAGAGGAAGGGAGGGAGGGAGCACAAATTTTTTAAGTACTTACTTTATGCCAGGTGCTATGCCAAACATTTTACAAATATTATCTCATTTAATCCTCACATCAACCCTCAAATATTAGCACTGTTATTATTCTCATTTTTGCATCTAGGTGGCTCAGTGACCAAGCACTGGTCATGAAGTGAGGAAGATCTGAGTTGAAATCTAACCTCAGATATTTACTAACTGTTATCTTGGGCAAGTCATTTAACCTTTCCTATGTTCCTTCATCTGTAAAATGGGATGATAAATGCCTATTTCCTAGAATTGTTATGAAAAATCAAATGAGGTAATATTTTCAAAGAGCTTAGCACAGTGTCTGGCACAGAGTAGTTACTATATAAATGCTATGATGATGATGATAATTTGAGGAAACTGAGGCAAATAGCAATTAAGTGTGTTGCCAGGGCCACACAGCTATTAAATATCTGAAGCTAGAGTAAAACTCTGATGTTCCTCACTTCAAGCTTGCTGAACTGTCCACTGTACAATTTAATGTTATTCAAATAGATAACCCTTACCATCTCTGATACCTGAGTTTGAGTATCTATTCATTTTTTGTTTGTTGATTTGTTTGTTCAGAGATGGTTTTTTATTAGACACTTGCTCTTATAACAAGATACATGAGTAAACTAGTAGGATAAGAGAACTTGACAATGGCTTTCATAACTTTGAAATTAAATGACTGGGACTTACTGTGCCGTGGAGACTTTTTGTTTTATTATAGTTAATTAATTTCATTGTTTTTCTTCATTATGTATTTATTTCACTTCCGTAAGATTTTGAGTTCTAAATTTTCTCACCCTCTCTGCCCTCTCATCTCCTTAAGATCAGCATGTAATTTCATATACGTTCTACATATACATACAGTCATATTAAATATATTTTCAGTTATGTTGTAAGGAAAAATTAGAACCAATGAGAGAAACCACAAGAAAGAAGAAACATAAAATAAAAGAGAAAGAGCAGATGCTATGCTTCCATCTGCATTCAGACTCCACAGTTATTTTTCTGGATTTGGAAAGCACTTTTTTTTCATGTAAAATACTTCCATAGTAGTCATGTTGTAGAAAACTAACTATATTTCCCTTCATCCTATTCCGCCCCCTGTTTATTCTGTACTCTCTTTTGGCCCTGTCCCTCTTCAGACGTGCTTGTTTCTGATTATCCCTTTCCCAATCTTCCTTCCCCTTTATTATCCCCCCATTCTCTTCTTTCCTTCCCCTATTTTCCTGTGGGGTAAGATAGATTTCCATACTCAGTTGAATGTGTATGTTATTCCCTCCTTAAGCCAAATCCAATGAGAATGAGATTCACTCATTCCCTCTCACCTTCCCCCACTTCCCCTCCACTGTAAAAGCCTTTTCTTGTCTGTTTTATGTGAAATAACTTATCCCATTCTACCTCTCCCTTTCTCCTCCCAGTATAATCCTCTCTCACCCCTTAATTTTATTCTCCAGATATCACACCTTCATCTTCAACTTACCCAGTGCCCTCTGTCTGGCTGGCTATCTATCTATCTATCTATCTATCTATCTATCTATCTATCTATCTATATACATATATTTTTTCCCCTCCAGTTACCCTAATACAGACAAATATGTCATGAGTTACAAATGTCATCTTTCCATGTAGGAATATAAACAGTTCAACTTTAAGATTTCTCTTTCCTGTTTACCTCTTCATGCTTCTCTTGAGTCTTGTATTTGAAAGTCAGATTTTCTGTTCAGGTCTGGTCTTTTCATCAAGAATGCTTGAAAGTCCTCTATTTGACTGAATGCCCTTTTTTCCCCCTGAAGGATTATATTTGGTTTTGCTCTATAGGTAATTCTTGACTGTAATACTGTCTTCTTGGATATCAGGAATATTATATTCCAAGCCCTCCTGTCCCTTAAAGTAGAAGCTGCTAAATCTTGTGTTATCCTGATGTGTTTCCACAATACCTGAATTGTTTCTTTCTGGCTGCTGGTGATGTTTTCTTTTTGACCTGGGACCTCTGGAATTTGGCTGCAATATTCCGAGGAGTTTTCTTTGGGGATCTGTTTCAGGAGATGATCAATGGATTCTTTCAACTTCTGTTTTGCCCTCCAGTTCTAGAATATCAGGGCAGTTTTCCTTGATAATTTCTTGAAAGATAATGTCTAGACTCTTTTTTTTTATCATGGTTTTCAGATAGTTCAATAGTTTTTAAATTATCTCTCCTGGATCTATTTTCCAGGTCAGTTGTTTTTCCAGTGAGATATTTCACAATATCTTCTATTTTTTCATCTGTTGGATTTGTTTTACAGTGTCTTGATTTCTCCTAAAGTCACTGGATTCCATTTGTTCCATTCTTATTTTTGAGGAAGTATTTTCTTCACTAAGCTTTTGGACTTCCTTTTCCACTTGGACAACTCTGCTTTTGAAGGCATTCTTCTCCTCATTGGCTTTTTGGACCTCTTTTACCATTTGGGTTAGTCTTTTTTTTTTTAAGATATTATTTTCTTCAGTATTTTTTTGGGGTCTCCTTTAGCAAACTGTTGACTTGTTTTTCATGATTTGCTTGCATCAGTCTCATTTCTCTTCCAAGTTTTTCCTCTACTTCTCTTCCTTCTCAGAATCCATGAGGACCTTGCAGCTTCTACTTTAAAAGACCATAGGGTATGGAATATGATATTCTGTAAGGCAAAGGAGCTTGGATTATAACCAAGGATCAACTATCCAGCAAAAATGAGCATAATCTTTCAGGGGAGGAGATGGATATTCAACAAGATAGGGGACTTCCATACCTTTCTGATAAAAAGACCAGTGCTCAATAGAAAATTTGATCTTCAAATACAAGACTCAAGAGAGACATAAAAAGGTAAAAGGGACAGCAGGAAACAGCATGTTATTAATAACGGCAAACTGTTTACATCCCTACAAGGGAAGATGACACTTGTAACTCTTGAGAACTGTTAGTACATAGTAGTACATGGTATGTTAGTATACCATGTTAAAAGGGTATACATAAAGGGGGTGGGTATAAATTGAATTTGATGTAATGATGAAAAAAAAATCAAGTGGGTTAAATGGATCCAAGTAAGTGGATTAATCTAATCTAAGAAAATATACCGACAGAAAAAAAAGGAGGAGCAAACAAGGGTAAATTACATCATACGAAAAGGCACGAATACCTGTTAGAATAGAGGGAAAGAAGGAAGGTAGATGAGCATTGTTTGAACCTTATTTTCATCAGATTTGGCTCAAGAAGAGAATATCTAACATGCCCTATAGGCAGTAGGAGAGAAAAGGGGAAAGAAAAGGTAGGGAGGATAGAAGGGAGGGAAGAAGTAGTAAGAGTAGAGGGGAAGAAAATGGAAGGGACTAATAAAAGGGAAGTAGGGCTGTGGGAGGCGGTGGTCAAAAGCAAAACAGTGAGGAGGGAAAAGGAAAAGAAAAGTATAAACAAGGATAAAAGGATGGAGAGAAAGACCCATATAGTAATCATAACTGTGAATGTGATATATGAATGTAATGAAATATTATTGTGCTATAAGAAATGAGGAACAGGCAGACTTCAGAAAAACCTGGAAAGACTTGTATGGTTTGATGCTGAGTGAAGTGAACAGAACCAGGAGAATGTTGTACATAAAAACAACCACATTGTGAGATGACAAATATTGATAGACTTAACCCTGCTCAGCAGTCCACATCCAAAGAAAGAACTGTGGAGTTTGAATGCAGATGGAAGCATAGTATTTGGTACTTTTTTTCTTCTGTTGTGTTTTGTTTCCTCTTTCTGGTGGTTCCTCCTATTAGTTCTAATTCTTATTTAAAACATCACTAATGTGAAAATATGTTTAATAGAAATGTATATATATAGCCCATATCAGATTGTGTGCCATCTTGGGGAGGGAGGTGGAAGGGAGGGGAAGGAAAATTTAAAACTAAAAAGCTTATGGAAATGATTGTTGATAAATCAAAATAAATTAATAAAAAAGAAAAAAAAACAAATTATGAAGAAACACAGAAAATTAATTGGATAGTTAGGATTTTGCGCTTTCCCCCCATTCTCAGTAAGTAATTGTCCAGCTTCTATTTGAATACCTTATAAAGATACATTATTTGCCAAGGCAATGCATTCCATTCGTGAACACTTGTAACTGTTGGGAAATTCATCATCTAATACTGAGATAAATTTTTTCTCTCTAACTTCTGTCTACTCCATCTAGTACTGATCTTAAGTGTCAAGAAAAATGTTTAATTCCTTCCACATGACAATCTTTCATATATTTAAAAATAGAAGCCCTGCCCCAGCCCTTATGTGGAATACTAGAATGGGAGCCAATAGGTCTCTAGTACCAGAATAGCCAGTAGCTGTGTAGCATTGCAGGTAAAATAACTACCACAATATTCAGTTTCCTAATCTTTTGGTAAGATTTGCCTTAAAGGGTTAGTTGTTGCAGAAAGCGCATTGTAAAATATAAAGTAATATAAAAAGCGAGCTAATAAACCTAATTAGTGAATGTTATAATAGGTGACATTTACATAGTACGTTAATGTTTGCTAAGTACTTTTGATATGGTATATTTGATATGTACAGCTCCATTTTACAGATGAGAAAACTGAGACCCAGAGTGGTTAAATGACTACTGATGGTAAAAAAAAAAAACTAGTAAATATCAGAGGAAGGATTTGGATTTGGCTTTCTCCTGACCCCATGTCCTATCCTTTTTTCACAACACAAGCAGGCTGATATGGATAGTATTGGGGCATGTAGGTGGCAAAGTGGATTGCTTGCCAGGCCTGGAGTCAAGAACTCTCATCTTCCTGAGTTCAAATCTAAAATCAGACACTTACTGGCTTTGTGACCCCGGGCAAGTCACTTAACCCTATTTGCCTCAATTCCTCATCTGAGAATGAGCTAGAGTAGGAAATGGCAAAATTCTCAAGTATCTTTGCCAAGAAAACCCCAAATAGGGTCAGGAAGAGTCAGAGATGACTGAAATGACTGAACAACAACATGGCTAATATTTATTGAGCTTTTCTAGTATTATAAACTTGCAGAATATATGCAAGGCAACCCCTTTCTGTCAAGGAGTTCATACACTACAGCTACTCACTCACATTTATATAAAACTTTACCATTTTCCCACTGTAGCCCTAATCTTAAGTTTTGTAATGTCATGGAGGTAACCTAGTATTCTCAAATTCTGTGTCATTGGACCATAATTGATGTCAGGTCCTGTCAAGCTGTAAAGGTTTCTCTAATGGATCTGGCAATAAATCCTATGTCTGTTAACTGAGGACCAGCCTAGCTAAGTACAAAGAAGCTGACCATCAGAGACCTGGGTTCCTGGTGATGTTTGTTTATTTGTTTATTTTTTTTCCTCCCTAGCCAAAATCACAAAGAATATCTACCCAAGTGTAGAGAGATTGCAGTCTGCAGCAGGCGGAAAGAACCCACAAGGATGAAATCATGAATCCTTGAAACGTTGAATTGTTTCCAGTTTACAAAATGCTTTCTTCATGGCAACTTTGTGAGTCAAGCAATAAATATTAAAACCCTCACTTTAAAAAAAAAAACATGAACCCTAAGAGGTTAATTGAATTGACCAGATTCATATAGGTCAAATGATTGCAATCCTTATCTTGTGATTCCAAGTCCACCATACCTCTCAAGAGAATACAAGATGAACAGAGATACTATTTTGTCATATACATACATTCACGTACATGCATACATACATGTATGTGTGTGTGTATTTCTTTCAAGAGGAAGTAGGAAGACATCTAGGCTACCAGTTATTGAGGGTAATTCAAGTAGACAAACAGGTAAAAAAGTGGTTTCAATAATCTCCCAGAAGACTGACCAATAGCAGGACCAATTTTTATGTGGTTGTTTTGAGGAGGAAGTAGGAGGCTTAAAGGTTTAATACATTTCATAAAAACTTTTAAATTCTGTAAGTCTTGATGTCTTAGTTCTGCTCACTAGCAATAAAACATTTTCATAGGCTTTTATATGCAGGGAAGAAAAAAAAGGAGAAACAGAAAGGCAAAAAAAAATCACTATTTTACAACCACATGTCAATCTTTTTTTTATCCCTCATTCATCACATCAGATATGATAATATATGCAAAGTACTATATGAACTTGAGCTATTTTCACTCATTAATTCAACAAATATTTATTAATTGCCTGTTTCCTTTCCTCCCCTACATCAGGCTTCTCCGTCTAGTTTGTTGCGATATGAAAATTAAGAAGAATAAAGGTCTATCCTCTAGCAACATTTTGTAAATGATTATAATTTTAAAGGGGAGCTTTGGCTTGTGGGGATTTTTAGAGGAGCTCAATTTTTTTTTTTTACCAAAATGATAGTAGCATTACTGAATTCTATAACGCTAAAAGTTTAAAATTTATGATCCTTAAAAAACATAAAATTTATAACATTTATAATCTTACTATGTAAACTATATCCACATGTCTTAATGAGAAGATACAAAGACAAATTAGAGGTGGCCATAGAAAATTGAAAGAATTAATAAAAACATTTATTAAGGACTTATATATGTAAACCACTGTGCTAAGTGCTAGGCAAGCAAATAACAAAATAAGTCAGCCCTGCTCTTTGAGAGCTCCTTGAGAGCTACAGATTTGAGAGATGAGACCTTAATCTGTAAACATTTTTATATTCATTGTCTAAGGTACTTTTAAAAATAAAAGTGTAGTTTCCCTGGTTATTTCTTTTATTAAATTTTTATCAATTTATTTTTAGTTTTCAACAATCACTTCCATATACTTTTGAGTTTTAAAATTTTCTCCCCCTCTCTCTCCACCTCCCTCCCCAAGATTTCACACAACGTGATATAGGCTCTACATATACATTCCCACTAAACATATTTTCCATATTAGTCATGTTGTAAGGAAGAATTAGAGCCAATAGGAGGAACCACAAGAAAGAGGAAACAAAACAAAAGGAAAAATAGAGCAAATAGCATGCTTTGATCTGCATTCAAACTCCGTAGTTCTTTCTCTGCGTATGGATAGCATTTTCCATCATGAGACTTTTGGAGATGTCTTAACCTGATTATTTCTTTTAATTTGGTTTATTGCTTTTGCTTTGTCTGAGATCATGATTGATATCCCTGCCTTCAGCTTTCAGCTGAAACAAAACAGATTCTGCTGTAGCCCCTTATTTTAACTGTTTGTGTCTGTTTCAAGTGTGTCTCTTGTAAAGGACATATTGCTGAATTCTTGTTTATAATCCATTCTGCTATCTGCTTCCCCTTTATCAGTGAGTTCATCTGATTCACATTCACAGTTATGATTACTAACTGTGTACAACTGTGTGTAAGTTGTCTTTTTCTTGAAAAATGTCTTACCCTGACCTTTACTTAGATCTGTCACTCCAGAATTCGATTTGAAGTGTTAATGTAAAGTTGTTTGGAAGGAAATGCTGGCAGAGTTCTGCTGGGTTACTCCCTCTACTTGGCCATCTTGACTGCCCCAAGAAGGTCATGTTCCAAAAAATATGAAATGGAAGATATATTTTGGCAAATGAACTCTGAACAAAAACATGGGGTTAGTACTAACTTTGCTTTACTGTGCAACTCATGACTTTTTCCAGCCTGTTTCCTTTTTTTCTCCTGTTTGCTAAATATGATGACCTATATTCCAGGAAAATTGTGTTATCTAGGAAATATACATTTAGAAATTGAGGTCAACTGTTTATGTGCCAATCAGTTGGTAGACAGAGGTATACATTGGGCATCCCCAAATGCAAAAAGGCCAGAGAGGATATCTTTTATCTGAGTTGGTGCCACTTCTTTGAAAGACCTATGGTTGAAAGTGGATAAAAGTAACAGAAAGAGAAAATATGGATGGGTTAATTTTTGTAGCGATGGTGGTACAATAAGAGATCACTGATCCATTAAAGTTATCTTAAAGAAGTAGCTTTCTCAGACCTCATGGAACTTGTTTTGGTGACGATGATTAGCTATAAACTCCAAAACACAATTCACATTTAACCACCAGAAAGTAGTATAAAACATATATTCCATTTCCGTTATCTGTAGTATAACTACATTAACTTTGACTCCTAAAGTGCTGTAGACACAGCAGCCCTGACACATTATAAGCAATCCATTTCTCATGATAAATTTTGCTCATCAAGTAGCCCACTAATGTGCTTTGAACAGTTACTTGATCACTGTTTAAACCCTACTAAGAATGTGAAGTGACTGCCCCCTGACTCCAACCTGATTATAGATTTCCTTAGAATTTCCTTAGAAATTGTTGTAATACAGACAGAACCCTGCACAGTCAATAGAATAGATACATGTCCAGCATCTGAATTTCTTTGGACTTTATTACCCCCAGGCATTAAATTGCTATATTGATAAACTAACACAATAAATGCCTCATAGGTAGTATGAACCATGTCTTAAAATTTCAAGTCTGTGATCACGTCAGTTAGCTTGCCACAATCATGTGCACATGCACACACATCTAATAGCATCAACACCGAAATAAAACCAGGATATAGTTCGACTTGTAAAATATATTTTTAAAACCATCTTCAAAAAGATGTCTTAAGAGAACTACTATGTAGGAAATTGTTGGAATCAGAGAAGCATTGCTGAGCCAGGACACCAATATATTATAGGGCAAAATTTTGTAACCTTTGTTTGTGTGAAAATTTAATGAGGGAAAAATGATAGAAAGGCACTTGAGTAAAAAAGGAACAATAGTTTTGTGGTTTCAAGTTTGTGTTTTAAATTTATAGTGAAATAAAAGATGCTCTACCCATTTCTCTCTCTCTCTCTCTCTCTCTCTCTCTCTCTCTCTCTCTCTCTCTGTCTCTCTCTGTGTCTCTCATTAAGAATAAATGTAAAATTATCCAATATTGGTAGGACTTCTTAGGGAAAAAAGGTTTTTGTTTGTTTTATTTAAGCTAGAGTGATTTGAAACACTCAAGGGGATGCCCAACAATAAGAATAATGCATTTACATATTGCATTAAGGTTTTCAAAGTTCCTTCCTTACAATATCTCTGTGAGCTAGATAGTTCAAATATGATTGTCCCCATTTTAAGGATGCTCTTGGGATAAGTTGAATTGCCCATAATCACATAGCTCTTAAATATATGGGTTTCCTTTCCTTTAAGGTCTCCTTTAATTGAACATGGTCAAAGTAGTGGTGGTGGTGGTGGTGGTGGCTTGATTTTCCTGGAAAATGCTGCCTCCTATTTTCCTCTCCTAGGCTTTCTTCCTGCTTCATTTAGGGTGGTTTGCCTACCCTTTTTGTGGCAGTTCGTTGGCAGTTAATGGACATAATTGGTACCTTCCCTGTAGGAGTTATTTCCCCAGATTATGGCTACCAGGTTAAACTAGAAACAGAAATTATAGTTTGAGGAATGCTTCCAATCTTGGCTCCTTTTCTTACTGACTTTTTGGCAGCACTATCTTGTACATAGGTTACTTCTTGAACTGAATTTATTTTTTGTTTTAAGTTACTAATGATCAGGTGATATAACCTATTAGCATATACTATAGAGATTGGGAATATATAATTTGGGGAGGAGAAAATTGAGATGTTGTGACTTCAGTATATGAGAGTCTACTTAAACAAATGCCTATGAATAAGTGTTGCCTCTCCCACTGAAGAATGGGTGAAATAGAAAAGATAACTTATGTTATGGAGCTAGGAAAAGTTTCTGGTACATGTGTTGTAGAGTAGTACAGATGACCCAAGGAAGTTGTGGAAATTCTTATTCTGATATCTTTAAAGAAAGGGAAAATTCTCATAGGTCCAGGATGGATGAGGTCCTATCCAAAGGAAAGGTGATTAGAAGACTGTTCTCAGTTTCTTCCCACAGTATGATTCCATAATTCCATACGTACTCTTCACTCCTAGTCACCAAAATGCTATGTGTTATTGTAGACACTTCATCAAGTGGACTCATTTGGGGGTTTTTATTTGGGAAATTGGCATAACAGAAACCTAAATGGCTTTACTGTCAGAATGATAAACAGCTATCTCAAAGTAAAATGTAATCATAGATAAGGAAATCTTTGTCAGAAAATGTCAAATTCAGCAATGTCAAATTCTGCAAGTTCAGCTCTGTGGGAAAGAGACTGAATTTGTGTGTGTCTTAGGTCCACAGACCAGGGCCTCCATTTTGTGTAGCAGACCAATTCAAAGACTTGCTTAGAGATTTTTCACTTGTTTTAGAAGTTTTTTTGTTTAAAATGTATAGTAAATTTTGAAAATGAAAAATTGCATTTTAAAATGAATTGAAACCTCTCCAAGAATGTATTTTGTAATTAGAGATCCTGTGGCAGGTCTGTTCGCACAAGCTGAGGAGCTGTTGCTATTTTTTTTTTTTTTTGTGGGAGGAATATAAAAGATTCAACCATGTATTGGGAATTATTTTTCATTTGAGTGTTTTGGAAAGAAGTTCATTATAATGAAGTAATAGTATTACCTGGAGGAATTAGGAATAACAGTAAAAAAGGGTACTCCAAGAGAG